GGCTTTGTTTCCAAACAGAAATAATAATGTCCATCATTGCTCTCACTGTTAATTATGAGTAGAGTAATGCTCAGTTCTCTATTGATAATTTCAAAAGAGCACAAAGCAATGGCAACACTATTCCCATGTGATCAAGAAACAGACCTTTCACAAACAATATTTTTATATTCTCCTGTTATACCTCAGATATGAGATAGCATTAATTAGAAACATCATTCTACATTGTGCAGATGGGAAATGATTCTGTACAAAAGAACCAGGTGCTACAAATTGTCCAGGTATGGAAGCTTCATTAGTAATATAATGACTGACATACAAACAATTGTTCTTTGCCTCATTTCTTCAAAAATATAGCATCCACACTTTCAATCACATTTTGTAGAGTCAGATATGGAAGCATAAGAAGACAGGAGCCTAGTACTTGTGCCACTCAAAATCACCATAACATGGAAATCATGACAAGAAAACTTAAAATAATTTTGGAATTGTCTGCAGTATTACAATGCCAGAACATTCTTTATAAAACAGGAAGCTTTTTGTCACTGACCTCTTGCTTCCATTGTTTTCTAAGATGAAGTTTATTAATGTCTTAAATTTAGAACAAACAGCATATACTATAGCATCTAGTTAGGCACAGGAGAATGTGGTAGGTACAACTATATCAATAGCAAGCTTGGACAAGACCTTTGCCTGAATAGGTGGGGAGCACACACTAATTGAGATACAAAGGTAGAAGCTGCCTTCTCTGGAATATGGTGAGTCTCTGTCAATGAAGGAGACCACAGTGAATAATTTAGCAAGTGATCATGGTCTTGGACAGCAGATAGGGGCATCTACCAGGGGTTTCTGTGATTTGACAGTCAGAAAGTGTATACATTCCATCTACATGGGTTTGACACTTATTCAAGGACTAGTTTTATCACAAATAGTTTTTTAAGAACAAGAGAATCATTCTGGCACAACTATGCTGTGGACAAAGACAAGAATAGTTGGCCAGATCCAAGAAGCAAGGTAGAAGTCACTTAATTAAGCAGAATTAATCAGAGCTAACATGAGTGAGTGACTTCCTGGAGAAGAAGGCCTGCATTTAACACATTAGGTCCTCTTCTGCTTTTTGGGCAAGATAGGACCTACACGTTAGATCAAGAAGGACAGGTCCAACCCAATTACACTTGACCAAAGAAGAATGATTCACAAGTTCAATGTACGTTCCAATGCACATTGCTGGTAGAAAGAGAAGAGTTCTCACTAGCTGACTACCAGAAAGAAACTTATATCCAACTGACTGACTTTTCTCAGACTATTCAAGTTTTAATTCCTAGGAAGTTTTAATATCAATCAAGGTTTTCAATAGAGTTTCTCCAACACCTACTTCATCCAAACCAAATTTCTTTATGAATAAGTAGTAATAAAGTGAAACACAAATGTAAGGATCCTTATTGTATAGAAGGCATGAGCTAACCACAGATATCAGATTGGTAAGTTAAAAGTGCCTCTTATGAAAGATCATTGTGATAATCTAGTTACTACAGGAGCTGGCTACCATGTCTGATGACTTGAGCCTAAATGGTGGAATGAGATAACAAATTACCACAAAACACACACACTTGCAGACATCATACACACACACACACACACACACACACACAAGCAAATAAAGAAATGCAAAAGATTTTTTAAATCTATATAGTACCACAAATAATAGATTTGCAGCTCTGTTATCATAACAACAGTCTAATTTAAGCTTTGAGAACCCCCCAAAACTTGCATATAATGTGTTGTAAACTGTATTTGTTTTTATTATTATTATCTTCATCATCGTGTGTGTGTGTGTGTGTGTGTGTGTGTGTGTGAGTATGCATGCCAAGGTGCAGAACGATGTCAAAGGACAACATGTAGTAGTAGGTTCTTTATTTTCATCATGTGGGTTTCATGGATAAAACTCAGGTTTTCAGGTCTGGCATCAAGTGCTTTGTCACACTGAGTCATCCCTGGAGCCATATTTTAATATAGCAATGCTTAATTGTTGCTAAGATATTATAAAGATAAAACTACAAATAAGGAGGAAATGTAAAGAAAATCAAAAGGAGGAAGTCAGGAGAACTTTCAGACCAGACCAAGGAGACTTACGGGAAATTTATGTAGCTAGCAAAAGAAATCTGAGCAGGTAAGTTGCCATCAGAAGGGCCAGTAATACAGGCATCTTAAGAGAAGTCCTTCTCCAAACCATCCCTCTCTATTTTCATGATATATACATATGTTTTACTGACTGGCCAAAGAACAATCACAAAGAAAAGTTTCAGAGTAGCAAAAATAATTTTTTTCCAGAGAAACACAAGGAGTTGAATGACAACCCAGAGTAGATCTTGAAAGCATTCAGTAACATAATAGGATAAGGGGAAATCAGCTGCCGCACAAAAGACAATAAATTCATCCATCAACCAAAAAGCCATGCAGTTCTAGGCATGTGTTCAAATGCGGTCTCATAGTCATGGTGTTTACAGTTTCATTTTGGGCAACTTCTGATGCTAAGAAATTACACTCAGGCTAATGCTATGAGACACCATCACTTCTAAATCAAGACAGAGAAACTTGAGTTCACCTTCATATTTTCTCCTGTAATAATGGTTCACCAAGATCAGGCCCACCATGTTGTAAATAAAGATTCCAGAGTCCACAAGCCTCCATTACCAGGTATATTTAGGAAATACACACCAAATGTATCAAGAATCTACTTCACTCTGATAGATTACACTCAGAAAACAACAGCAGAATTTCAGAAAAGAAAACATATTTCATAAACAGTTGATCTTTATTCATAATATGCAAATTTATTGGAAAGAAAGAGGAAACCAGTTAAAAATGGGAAAAGCACATAATCCTACTCTAATATTTCAAAGAAAATTGTTATGTAAACTATCACTAAAATTAACTGGTGACTGACCATATGCATCTATTTTAGATTATACTAATATGGACACTTATTTTTGTAAGTTACTTGTTTGCTTATTGTGGTACAGTTGATCAAAATCAGGGCTTTTCCTTTGCTAGATAAGCAGTCTCGCACTGAGCTATGCCTCCAAATCCATATAGTTTGATTTATGCTGAAGAATTTTTTAAGATTTTGAACTTGCATGTATGTACATTCATTATATTTGATATTTTTACAGTATAAATTTGTATGTTTGGAGATCCAACATTTCTCTAACATTGAGATAACCTAAATTAACAATATGATATATGTGTGTTGATCCAATGTCATCTGAAGAATATTAATTATTGTTTAGAATGTTAATCTTGATCAGAAACTTTGCTTGTACATATAAACAAAGGAGAGTTCTTTCTCAAAAGGCCTAAACCCAAAGGTATTGTGGCCACAATAAGCTTTCAGGTTTTAGTCCATGCAGATTTACAAAAAGTACGCTGTGGTCTTAGAACAATGTTCACCATGTGACAACAGAGCAGTGTGTGTGTGTGACTGATTATAATAACTGAATAATAACATGCACACTATCAAAGTCAAATACTTTCAATAGGTATCACATCCCCATTTCAAAGATGCTACCATTGCTCAAACCGGTCTTGGATGTCTTCTTTTGATAACTGTCTTCAGAATTTCACCCACTCTTTCGAGCACTTTTATAGTGATAAAAATCTATGTCCAACAAAGGAAAATCTGATTTGGGGAAACATAAAAAGTTAACTGACTTTGAAAGCAAACGATTTTGTCAACTGTGTTTGGACAATAAAATAAACTCAGTACACACACACACACACACACACACACACACGCACGCACACACGCACGCACGCACGCACACACACAGATTCTCAGAGTAGTGACTTTAAAAGCTCCCTGAAAGGGTCAATAGTCTGTGAGAAGAGACAAAGAAAGGGTGCTGGTGGCTAGTTTTATTATTAGATTCCTCAGTGGGACCTAGGACTTGAGCATACAGAGTAAAGGCTCTGTAACTGATCACATGCTTCCTTTAAGCAAAGGACTGCATCTCAGAGATGCCCTAGCAGATGTTTCCAATTTGTTTGTACTGGATGAGGATATTAATACATGTACTTTGTACATATACTTTGGTTATAATGTAGAAGGCCTTAACAGGTCAAAAGAAAATCTTGAGGTTCTACTTAGAGAGCCCTTACCTGTTCTGATGAAACTGTAAAGTACCACTCATAGCTTATTTTTACCCCAATGAGTCTCTGAAGGACTCCAGTGGCTCATCCAAATATTTTCATCTGAGGACTCCAAAGAGTAAGTAAAACAATCTTCAAATAGAAGTGAAATAGACTATTAGATTTTCTTCCCTAGAAACTGAATTTTCTTATAGGTTTCAAAGAATAGAATACAGGAAAAGGCAAGTTTTGGAAAGATGATCTTCACATGAAGAGAGATCTGTGTGGGGGCATTTATTAATTTCAGAAATGACAATTGAAACTCATCACAAAGATTTATTCATCTCCTCTTCCACAAATGAACATCATTGTGTATTAGAAATGTCTGGAAAGAGAGAAGTAAAATATTGCCATCAACTATCAGAAAAGTTTACCTCATTTTACAAAAATTTATCTTTGTAACAGTATTACTTCAACCTAAGTGAGAATTAGCTCTCCCCATACTCCAATAACACAGATTTGATAAATATGACTAGGAAAAATCATATTTAATCCAGCAGAAACTATTTGTGGGCCAGATGCTAGTAACATTTAGAGATTTGTGATTTATTATTCAATCTGAAACAAGTATTCAATTTTAATTTGATGTCAGATGCTCAGAAGTCTTGGAGGTGATGTTTTCCTGAGAGAAGAGAGTGATACTTTATAAATATAATTGCTATACTCCTACAAGTGGGCCTTTGAAAAAAAATACTAAAATAGAGAAAACCTACTTTTTAGCACTTTGATCAATGAGTCATAGAAACAAAAATAAGCTTCATATGGCCAGGGAAAGAAACACTATAGAACAGGCCGATTTCCATGCCTGTTTCAGTTTAAAATAGCCAAGTAAAACAGGAAGCATGTCTTTTTCTTTTTGCTGCAGTTCTAATTCAGACTGGAATAATTCTATAGTACGTTTAAAAGTGAAAAATAAGTCACAGTTTCGGCAGAGCGGCTGGCTGTTATGATGTAAGTACACGGACTGAAGCTGGGGAATACAAGCGGCTAACAGACCTGTTTTATATTGTATGTAATTTGATCACAAGCATCTATACAGCATAAATACAAGGCCAAATTGAATTTCAATATTAAGGGTTGAAATAGGGACTGAAATGTTCTTTATTATTTAATACTGAAACCAAAATAATTTCTGACATCATTGAAAATTTTAAATGTACTAGTTGAAAATGTAATTGGGTGGGCTCTCTCCTCTGCATGTACACAGTAGCATTATTCCAGGGTATACCCTAAATAAAGTTAGTGAATCTCACATACACGGCAGAGTACTGAACATGCTCCTTAAACTGAATTAGTTTTACTTAGTTTCCCCCAATAAACTTAGAAGAATTAAAATTAAAACAAATTTGAAGCAGAAAAACAGGAAATGTATTTTAAGGGCATTTAATTAGAAAACATTCATTTCAAGTTAAACTCTTGGTTATTTTACATTTTAGCTACTTGTCAGAGACAGGGCAGTCTAAAAGTACAATCTGTTGAGGGATTTAAAAATATATGGTTCATTTTAAACAGTAGCTCTTGAGTTTCTTTTAGAAACACAAGTCAACAAAGGAACCAGTTGAATCACAATGGGTATGACATTAAAGATGTTTGAAAGTATTAAATAGAGTGAAAATAAGATTAGTAATTCATTTGTCACCTAGGTACAAGTACGTGAAGTAACTTAGGAACACTTGAGAGTTTTTGAACTGGCTGGCAGCATTTGTGGAAATGTCTGCAAAGAGTCATACTTTAAAAAAATAATTACCATCTAACACATGGCTTGGCAACTGTTTTGCAAGTCATCATGTTTTAATATAATAATTGGATATACTGACTGTAAAATAGTAGTTTTAACTTTAAAAGCTTAGTTTTCAATTAGAGTGTAATATTAGGAAAATGTGGGAATCAAAACAGGAAAGTAAGATTTATAAATCGTATTATTAATGTGAAGAATTAAAGCTGTTGACGATACATAATGCTTAACTTCAAAAGTTAAACTCACAATTTCAGGAAACCCATGAGTAGAAAATATTGATAAGCAGTAAGATATTTTTTAGTAAGTCCTATGTAATTAAATAATAAAGTCTAATAATAAATGCAATTAAAACTTCACTGAGGAAAATAATACGACGAAAGGAAAGTTTTCCTAAAGCAAACTATTTTTACACTTTTCTCACTCTCTGTGATTACTGTACTGAACTTAAAAGCTTTTATTTTCTTTGTATGTTTTGGAGAAATTCTGAGATGAGTCTAATAAAATACAATAAAGCTTTAGTATTTATTTGTGTTTTATAATTTTTCTAGGAACTATTTTCATTAAAAAAATGGTTACTAACATTTTTCCACAAAGTAAAACTCAGTTCTTGGAATTAAATTTGATGTTTAAAGTTCTAATTTTATTTCATACAATCTTTATGTGCTCTTCAAGTATAATTAGAGATGCTGCAGATACTAACTGCTCTTTCTTAAATGCTATGGTGCTACCCCCAAAATTTATTTTTTGACTGAATATTATTTAGCTTTGATATCAAATTAATAATTATAATATTTGGCTTTTCACATAAGATTTTTTTCAGTGGTGACAGTGCCTTTTTAGTTTCCTTGTTTTGGTTTGGCTTTTGTTAACCATATAATAACAAGGGGTGTTATTTTTTTTTCTACCTGAGTATTATCTTTCCTTTTCTTTTTTTGCCTTCCTTTTCCCCTTTCCCTCATTCATCCTCTCATTTTTATCTTCTTTGCTTTGGGGAGGAGTATAAAATTATTAAATCAAATATCTACCCAGGGGGGAGGAGCAAATATTCTTACCTGCAGTCAAGAAAAATGAAAACCTTTATCACCAGCCGTCTATTTAAAGCAAACAGTTTTAGTCTGGGCAAGGCCTGTCGACAAGGAGCAGAAGTTATAGCCTGGCACAGAAGTTTAATTCTTGTTTGGAAATTTTTTGGTAGAGTGTTTTTCTAAAATGCAGACTGCTGGCTTATTATTTTTTTAAGGGCTGACAGTTAATTAGCACTGAGTCTTATTACAGAAATCTCCTCTGAAGCAGACGTATTCCAGTTCTACTGAAGTGATTGTCATCAAGGGGTTGTTTGCTGTGGTGCTCACAGATGGCAGCAAAGACAGCCCAGGAACGCAAACAGCCTGATAATCAAGATAGCCTGAAAATATGGGTGAGTTTTCAACTCTGGTTCTGGCAGCAATCGCTTTTCAAATATCTTGGGTTGTTATGTCCAAGTGGTTTACTTTAAAGCAGTCTTGTCATCAAAGGGGTCCCAGAGTCAAGAATAATTATGATAATTACCGAGAATTGCACCCCCCAAATAATCATCATAATACTGAATCTTAACCAAGTACAATATTGTTTGTGCAATACACTGCTACATTCAAAACGATGAAGTGCTAGACAGCTAAGACCTATTCTTGACTGACAAAGCAACTATAATTGTATGACTTTCTGGGATAATGGTTTAAACAAAAGTAAATAGTTAAAAAAAAGCACCCCCCCCAAAAGGGATTGGAAAGCTTAGCTGTGTTTAGTGCCCATTGATGAAAGCAGTGTTCTCTGATCCACGCTGCTATTGTTGGGTTTAGTTTAGCCCCCTCTCAATCAATATCTAACAGGGCATGATTTAATAAGGTTTTATAATCTCCAAAAGTGGGGGGGGGCAGGGTGGTTGTGGTATTGTCATTCATCAAAGGGGGCCTTTCAGGTTTCTTTGCTTTCACCTGCTGGGACCCATTTGGTCTCTTTCAAAGAGAATGCAATGACAAAATGAATGGGAAATGCTAGAATAAGAGTCCCTTATTCTGCCCAATAGTATAATCAATGGGTACTTGTAATCCCTATTGTACTGCACAGAGGTAGTTGTAAGACAATTAAATCTCGCTTCTCAGGCAAATGATTTTGGTAGTTAACCTGAAACAGCCAACAATATTGAAGAGAATGAATGCATTTGAAGCAATGATGTAATGGGATCCTGCCTGGCCAGCAAAGCATGTGCTCGTATAGACATGTGCATGCATGTATGTGTGTGCTAATCACAGTTGCTCTGTGTGCACAGGATTCATGATTCATAATCCTTTAAATATGACATAGTTAAGTGGAAACATTTTAATCAGTTTCACGGTCTGTCTTTTAAATTTCTGTTTTCAATAATGTGAAAACTATTATTTTTATAATATTGTACACTTTAAAATGTAGTTTTATAAACAGAAAACATTTACATAGTTAACATCAGTTTGATGTGACAACCAATTTAGTTTTAATTTCATTTGCATCAGCTAAATTCAATTTCTCTTTCCCTCCATGCAGTCACTGCTTAAATGTCAAAAGGAACCTTGTATTCTGAAGAGTTGCTCATTTTGGCCTGCATTATTTGTCTGCTTCCAATTGTATGGACTTCATACTTTATTTCCAGAACTATCTATCAAGAATCTTGTGATTTAGCCTTTTTAGGCAAGAATAAAAATATGAACCAAGATAAAATTGCATAGCACATATTCTAAAAGGTTTATGAAGAAAATTATCCCACTATTGAGAAACGTAGTGACTATTGAAGAAGTATCAAATGCAGAGTAAAGGGAGTGGAGATTGCAGAGATGAATTTAGTCCAAAATCCTTTAAAATGTACATATTTAATCTTTTAAATGTATTTAGTTTCTCTTATATTTATGTTGAAGATGCTATGCCTATTGGCAAAGTTGTCTCAGGAGACCCTGTTGGCCTTTGTTTACAGTAACACAGAAGCCATCCTGGAACATACTCCCTGTGTCACTACACACACAAATGCATGATAAACATGCCTTTATATGGCGAGGTGAATACTTCCTTCTCTAAGAGGATTTTTATGCTGAGCTGTTAATTTAAGATATCTGTAACCCCAAAATATTTTGACCTAGAAACTGAAAAGTCACTGACGCATATCTAGACACATGTGTATGTACCTTTTCACAGTGTTATGCAGACGTGCAGCTACCTTACATGTAAACGGAGTAAGCTCTCTGTGGATATTATTCCATATAATCCCTCAATAATCTGGAAACCTTGAAAAGCAACTCTAACTCTCAATGAACTAGAAATGCTGCCTCATATGACTTCTAAATGATAATTCTTGGTATTTCTAGGTCCTTATAGATTATTTTAAGTTTTTTTTTCCTGTGCTTCAATCATAGAGAAATAAAGAAATCCCCTTAAAAAATAAGATTGACCTGGATAAAACACTGTTCTTACACATAATGCTGCTTTCAGTGAGGAGTGAAGTGCCTGGCTCCTCTGGATACTTCCAAATGAGTCCAGCTAATTGGGGTAACTCAAGCCAATGGCCATTTGAAAGGCTGAAGGTCAGGTGTTTTATTGCTGGGATAGTATTCAAAAACATGACTGTCAGGGGTGAAACGAAGAATTATGTCAAGAGCATTCAGCATTACTGCCACTAAAGAGAGAGGAGGGGAAAACACTGTGAAGAAAAACATGTCATTTTCTAAATGAGTGAGGGGGGGGCAATAATGTGGCCTTCAGCTGTTGGTTTATTAGGTTTGCATCCCCATGATCCACATCTGCCTTAGGCAGAAGTAGTTTGACTTTTAATACAGTTGCAGTCAACTTAGATGCTTTCTTGTGGAGTGAAGAACATGCAGATGAGGTTTATTCTTTGAGGTTGTTTGTTTCTCTATCTCCTAGGCTATTTTCCTCCTTCTATTGCAAATCTGTGCATTGTTGCCTGATTCGCCATGGAACAGTGAACATTGCTTTTCCTAGCCAAATCATCCAGTGCTAAGAGCTATGTGATACAGATCAATAGGGCAGCCACAGCTGTACAAAAAGGGCAATGTTGTTTCTATTAACCATTCTCAATAAGAGTGTGGCCTGGTGGTTAAAGGATTAAATTGGGTGTTGAGTTTTTGATGTCTTGAATTCTATTTCTACCTAAGCCGCTGAACTCTTGATGATGCTGTTATAGGAGATTTCTTTTTCTTTCATTTTGCCCCACAGGAATATGCTCATGAGTTATGTATATACAGTGTACATCTCATGTGATCATTCACTCAGTGATGAAATCTGGAAGACTGATAAGAGAATTGGAAGCACATTCGGTGACATCTAAATTATGCTGTTTCAACTATTCAACCCAATTAATTTCTCTTACGGTATTTCACATATTGTTTATGTTTCATCCCTTTCTTCCATCATGTTTCTGAGTCTGAGTCCATTTGTAACACTTTACATCCGTAGGTGTGTGAGCATATGAGCACACAGGCATACATGCACATGCTCACACATTCATGAAACTGAGGCAAGGCGTGTTCTTCCTTCCAGAACACAGCATTTTGTTCAATGTGAGTCTCCTAATGTGGGACATTTTCATCAACTGTAAGGCAGGATACAGCCCAGGGAAACTGTGTGGGATTTCTTGTCACTACCAGAGTCAGGGGCAAATCCTTCCTAAGCACCAACCACACACATTAACCTTTCACTGCAGGTTGGAGCACAGGCCTGTGTGAGCGTTTTTATATAAGGTTACTTGTGGACAGTGGACTTATGTCCATGTGAGAGAAAGGGAAAGGACATAGTGGGCATAGAAAAACTTGTGGAGTTGAATTATTATTGCTACAAGTTGCCCTTTAAAGATGGGACAGATCTTCAGACCACATATTCTGCCACAATTCTGGGCTCCTCTTTCCCTCTTTCTTGCTCCCTGTTTACTTCTGGAGAATGTTACACATTTATAAACCATCACTCAAAGTGTGAGTTAGAAAAGCAAAAATCCTTCTGTGTTGGGATAACCAAGTGTGGAGACCCAAAACTCTTCTCCGGGATTTGTGGTCACCAAAGGAGGAGAAAGGCAGTCCTGTGGCTGCTGGGAGGCTGGGTATCCCCATGCTGCAGACACTGCAGAGGAAAAGTAATGTGTGTGTGCACTCAGTTTGGATAGGCAGTCGCTCAGTTTGACCCGGATGCTAATGAAATGCCTGGACAATGCATTGTGAAAGGACATTTTGTGGGGAAATTTGAAAGCAGAATTTGTGTATTGATGAACTGACTTTCTTAATTTCAGGGAAAAACGACTTAGGTTTCTATGAAGGAACTAAATGACAAAAAGTTAGGATTCTTTCTCGGAGTCAATGATAACATATTTTAAAAACTATTTTCCTTCTGTGTTTCACAAACTAAAGAGATAACTACTTCAGTATCTGAAACTGTCACCTGCCTTTTCCATTACTTTCAATGGCCCCTTAAAAAATTTACTCCTAATTTGTTCCAACTGAAGTTTCTTATTATAAAAATGTAATTCAGACTTATGGTGTTCCAGATAACAAAAGGGTAATATATGTTTATTTTAAAGAAGCACATTGGTTTTATTAATAATTCTAAAATTATTGTTAGGGCACTGCTAGTCAAGCTTAAGAAGGATCTATAATGGCTTCCTAGGGTCTCCTTCATGGGCTGCAACAAAGACCAGGCTTGGGAGCTCATTTCTGTGCAATCATGAGTCTGCTATTTAATGTTTACTATTTAACGTAATGGAGGTGACTATGATGTTCACTTTGAAAATTCAATTATTAAACTGTTTATATTTAACTAATGGCTTGCTCAAAAAGCCAAACCCATTTTGAAGGGGAAAAAGGAATGTTTAGAAAAGCAAAATAAAACATATTTTGAAAACCAGACTTGCTTTAATCAAGGAAGAGCCTGGTTAATAGATTTTAAGAATGTTTTTATACAATCCCCTATTAATGTTACAGAAAACAAATCGATAGATGAGGACAGCATGCACAGGCAATCCTTTCAGATACTAGTTAAGTCTGTTCAATGTTCCTCAAAAGAGATTAGAACTCCAAGTTTTCTACATTTAGATACAAAGGTACTTACAAAATTGCTTTCACGTATTTTATTTCTGATTGTTTTGCATAAAATAGTATCAAAATTATATCCAACTCTGAATGCCCAAAGAATAAAAAAATATTAGTCTGTGTCATTGTATCTATCTCTCTTTTACCACAAACACTTAGAAGTGTCCATATTTTCCAACTCGTGGGATATTTATAATACCTCACTCACATAGGACTCAAACAACTTTTTTGTTTGGTTTTGCTTCTCAGAGCTTGCTCCGGGCCAGAGTTTAAGTATCTTTTGAAATGTTTTCCAAAAGGTTTCCTTTAGAATGATTGT